AGTGGAAGTGAATCTGAAATCATTTGAATAGTGTCCCACTGCTAGTGACAGTAAGGGGAAAACCAACAAGTTTTGAGATGAATCTTCATTTTAAGAAAGGGAGTTTGTGACACGTCTTGATATAAAAGCAGATGCTGAAGGTCAGTAACTGTAATCTTTACCAGAAATATATCCTATATTCTTAATATATCTTAGTCCTTGCTGACATACCTCTCTTTTTTCAAAATCTGAGAAAGTAATCAACCGTTTCGGTAATTAACAGCTCACAAGAGCCAAGACCTAATAGACAGGTAGCCAGCTAATAAATGTAGTGTTTATATTTGCTCAATTCTTTCCAGCATCCTTTCTCCATGAAAAACAGTCCATTAGTAACTGAATCCCTCAGATTCATCAGTGCATCTTCTTTACTCCCCTAAAATATATATATAAAATTGAACTTTTTTCCCCTAAAAAGGAAGGGTCACTGTCTAACTATCGCAGAGACTAACTGAATGCCACAATGCTACATATGGCACTATTTCATTTTTCAATACTTTTTATGAAGTAACTTGCTGAGTTGAACAAATGCATTTTGAGGAACAGGGCTACGGCATAAGCAATTCCTACAGCACACTGTTTTTCACTTGCAAAAGCTTACACAAACATTAATCCTTTGTTTAGCAAGTAATTCTGTTCCATACGCTTTTAAAAAAAAAAAAAACAAAAAACACCGAGTCAATATTTATCCACGACTATTAATGACACACTAAAGACTGCACTGTGCTCTCACACAATTTTCATTGAAATCACTAAGAATAACGCAGTTACAGCTTCCAAACCTCCAGCCCTGAATGGCTGGGGGTTATAAGTAACTATCAGGTGTGAGAGATCATTATCAATTGTTTATAATATAACAGAAAATAAGAAGGAAAAACTAGGATAAGAATCATTTTCATGAAGAAAGCTATTTATAGACACCACTACTCACTGCAATTGCCAAGCCATTTTTGGAATCACTGCTCCCCGCTATTTCCTAATCCATGCCACTATATTGACAGAAAATTTGTACTGCTTTCATTAAAATAATATTAAGTTAGTATATTACGTGCATTTTTCTTGAACCCATATTGATTGGCACGGTATTTGTAAGTCCGGCATCCACATTTCCCTTGATTTGCCTGCAATTACTCTCAGGCCAGGAGGTCCATAACTACCAAGCCATCCAATTTACCTTTCTAAGTATTGGCACATCGTTAGGGGCCTCTCCTCCTCTCTCAGTCATCTGGATATTATTGATCCTATTTACACGGGAGAGAAGACATTTCTGAGACATACAAGCACCACTAAGGTCAATAATTCTGAAGAATACTCAAATATCCAGAGTTCGCTTTACGATTTTATTTTAGCTAACTACTTATTTTGCTTCCTAAAAGAGCACGCTCTCGTTTCAAAGGTAGTACTGGTCACTTCAGTTAAGCTTCCATGACTCATTGCTAGATGCTAGTCAAACAGATACAATATTGATCTAAGCAGAAGAGATGCTCAGCTCCTCCTATATGCTTCTAGTGACAGACAAGCACGAAGCTGCTTTCTCAAAGCTATTTCTTCAGACCTTCAGAATTTAAGGACAAACATCAGAAATAAGTACCTGGCCACTTCAGGCTTTTGGTTCCTTTAAAAAGGAAAAAGAAAAAGAAAAAAAAAACCCCATATGCCAAACTTCACTTCAATTTTATTTTCTCAGCTCTACAGTCATAACTGTCTGATGAGATTAAGGAACAAAGGAAAGATTTTTTAACAGGCACAATCACTCAGGCTAATGAAAACATCTCAAATTATTTAAGAAATGTATGGCTGCCTAAGAGATCACATCAAGAAACACGTAATTTGATAGGCCTGCTTCACCACTGCATTATTCTAATTTTATACCACTGTAACTCCAGTCATTTCAATAAAGTCTCAATAATATAACCTAGCAGTGAATTTAGTCTATGAGTTTCAGCTGCACTATGCTTTAAGACAGAATCTGTCATTAAGAGCAGGAAAAGCAGCCCATAGTCATAAAAAAATCTGGAAAAAAAAAAAGCCTTTCAGACTCTGGAACTGAGGTGTTATTCAGTCATTCGTTCTCACATCCACCTGAATCCCCATCTGTCAACTCTCCTTTCACCACCAGATTGTTCTATAAGCAACGATCTGGCAAGACACCGGAAAAAAGGAAAAAAGAAAAGAAAAGAAAAGCAACAACTATGTATTCTTCCTTATCCATCACAACAAACAGCTTCAATAGGCAACAACAGAGATGGTATAATTTCAAGAGAAACAAGCTCAGCTCTTACACTCGTTATTTTTCATGCCGTGAGTGTTTGGCATCAGAAATGTCACGGAACACACGAATCCCTTCTCTCATCCCCTCACAACCCTCTTCAGTGGGCCAAACTATGCTGCTAAAATTGTCTTTCTTTATTGCCTCTTCCCCACCTCTGCAGATAAGCACATCCGTAAGTTAGGGATCCATAAGTTACTGAAGACTCGAGCAAGATGGTTGAAATCCTGTTTTTAAGGGTGTACTTTGAAGTTTGAGAAGAACATTGTCTGATATACAACATCCACCCAAGGATTCAGTCAAAAAGCACAAACTTTGAACTCCCACGGCAGCTTAGAAGTTTGGCCAAGCAATTCTGTAGAGCATTAGAGCATTTGGGGGAGGGGTTCATTTTGAAATGAAAGACATATTTCTAAATACTTGTTTTACACTTGCAGCTAGACCACTTTCAGTGCTAGAAAATGAATTCAGCTAGAAAAAACACATCACAATAACCCAATTATTCAAAAAATTCCATTTCAGATAATACGAACCTAATCTCAAGGCTAAGTTATTATGCACAAAAACAAGTTTCTAAAAATAAACCAAAACCACTCATTACATTATTTTAGAAGTAAATTTTTGCCAGCCTCTGACAGAAAGGCTGCAACTTTTCAGCGGCTAGAAAAGGAAGCATCAGTGCCAGAAAGAATTACTGAAAGAAGAAATTCTTCCAAAACTTAGCATAGGGGGAAAAACGGATTCCATGAAATCATTATCAGGGAAATGAAAGTTGTTTTATTTTTATTTTGTTCTTGTATGATATTTTTACATTTATGTTAATGTGACTAAGCATCAGCTCTGAAAGGCAGCGGTTTTAAACTGAAAGATAGTTTTCATTTGGAAGAGGTCTAACCAACCCCCTTCTTTCAAGGAACTTTAAATGTTTAATGTTTAAGCTTCAATTTTAAGGTTACCTAAATCATGCCTGCAAGCAGGAAAAAAGTGCTCAAGAGGTCTGCCAAAAACTTGAAATACTGTGCACTTCCTCGTTCTGACATAAATCAGCATTCCTACAACCTCAAGTTTGAGTGTACGCAATTAGAAAAAAATGGAAAAGCAGAAGAATATAAAATATGCACAGAGTGAGATAATTTCAGATCGATATCCTCCAACCTGAGGCACTTGTAAAGGCCCTGGGCATGATGTTAGTGTTTCACAGAGACAGAGAAGATGAAAGGGAAGTCGAATCTCTGCTTCGCCAAAGAGTAAGGACACAGTCAGATTGGGTGCTCCGGCAAGACTGAAAAGATCCAGAAAGCCAGTACTGAAGGCATGAAGTCTCATACTATTCCAGCCTTCCAGGATGATCTTTCTGTAGTAGCATATGTTCCTACTAAAGAAGTCCTATGAATGTTTAAAGGATATATTTTTCCCCAATCACCTCTCTTGTTCATCAGAAAGTGGGTATAAGTACACTAAAAACATTTATATGTCAAGTTTCCTAATGAAACCATGTCAAAGTTACTTTTTAATGGTACTGAAGACAAAAAGGGCAAAATCCCTAATAAAGTAGGTAACGGCTGTGAAACCTTCCTATTTGGAGAGTATTATTGTTACTATAAATGTACTGGCTACTAATTAAAGCTTTTAAACCGGATCATTCCCGATCATTCCCTTTATGGTTGGTAACCAATCTCCCCCTTGAGTAGAATGCACCAGGCTGTTATTAAAGATGTTTGAAATTTCCTAAAGTAACTATTGAAACAGGTTATAAAGACATTATTAGATTAGAGTTTTGCCTGTATTATGCAAATTTGAACAGCTTGCTACTGCTGTATCATTGTGAATTCACGACCAGTTGTAATATACCTGAAGCATTACGTGAAACGTGATTCTCGCTACATATCATGTTTGGAGAAGCAAAAAGCACTGAAGAGTGGGCTATAAGACATTCCTTACAGACCAGAGGAGCAGGACTGCAGGGAATGATGAGCACTTCGAGCTCATAGTGGCTTCAAAGGCAATCAGCACCTTGGAAAACTAGCCCTGAGGGCACCTTAGCATAAACGTATCTTATGTACACCCATTTCCTGCAAAGCAACAATATTATGCAAAACAGAATAAAAGGATGAGTGCCCTAAAAGGGCAGACTTGACAATTTCTATAATTTAAACCAATATACAGTAGTTCCTCTTGGTCCAATCCTGTGCAATTTTCAAACAGTGGCATTACGACTGCAAACACTTTGGACCTGCATGACATTCACCAAACTTGTCCAAGCTTTTAAACTTCCTGTGTCAACTCTCAGATGGGGACATCACTACAATATGGTATCAGGTGGCCGGAGGACTGCAACTGTACCCTGCCCTACACTTTCCTCTGACGCTATCTTCCCTTGCACAGCAGTGCAAGACAACCTGAACCCACATCAGTAAGTTACAGACACAGAAGATGGACTCACCGGGCTTTTAAGGAACTTACATTGTAATGATTCAAATCAGTTTTCTTCAGTTCAGTAAACAAGTTAGATGTTTGCTGTACTACCTATTCAAGTATTAAAGAGCATTTAAGCAAACTCAAACATAGTCACTTCAACAGCAGCAAGGTGTCACAGGTAAAAATTGGTTCCAGTGATTGATGGCTGAAGTGCTTTAGAAAAGGATCTAGACTCAGTTACAAAATCTAATATATTCAGCAAAATGCTACTACTTACTGGACCTTGAGGACTGTTCCTGGAACTGGAAGTCAGAGCAGTCATAACATCAGATTTACGATCCTGAAAAGAGAGGAGGAGAAAAATTCAGATTAAACAGAACAGTTTGCACTTTACATAACAGGAATAAAGATCAACATGAAGCACCACTACAAGCAGGCTCAGAGGAGCCATTAGTAAAAACTGCCAATTACCAAGATTTCCACCTCCATTCATTCTAAACGCACATTAAACTCTCATTACTGAAGTATATACCCTTTTGCTTTTAATATAATGATCTCCAGGGAAGTTAGCAGACCTATCCCTCTTTTAAAAAGGTGCAAGTGGAAAGGACAGGACGACAGCTATGGCTTTTCAGAAGCTGAGTCAAGAAATAGAAAAAAGTCCCATACGCTTCTGAACCAGGTCTCCATAGATTTGCCGTAAGAGTCTGGATGACAATTTCGGAACTACCCCAAACTCTCTCAGCGTTTTTCATAAGATATGAAAAACAACGTGTTATGCCATTAGAAAGATCCTAGTTTATTTATCTGCTTGACAATAGCTTATATAATGCTGTTGCAAAACACTGTCGCCCAGGTGGAGCCAGCAGGCAGGGTCACAGCTCTGCCGGTGTGTTAAGCAGGCAGGGTCATGGCTACACCGGCTCCTTCTCCTTGCAGATTGGTCTATATTTGGGTCCTTACTAAAGGGATGCCCAATCTCCACTTTTCTAGCCTTCTCCTGGAGCTTCAGCTGCCTTCTCCAAGCGCGGGCACTGGGCAGAGCTGGGCACAAGCCCTTTTTCAGAAAGCTTTGTGCACACAGCAGGAGAAACCGGGAGGCAACAACTGAACAGAATGTACCTGCTGGAGGAAAGGGCAGAATTTGCCAGATACGGCTCTGAATTTGCAAGCGGAGTGGGCTACACTTTTGAAGAGCCTTCCTTCTCTCTCCCCCCCCCCCCCCCCCCCCCTAGGGTTTTTTTTTTTTTTTTTTTTTTTTAAAGAGATAGCATGTCCATAATCTGGAGCAGCTCCAGAAATACTGTAGTAACCAGTGTTGTAACTTCAGAAAATTGTTTCTGGGTTGCTTTGGAGCCCAAAGTTACAAGGATGTGATGTGGTCTGAGTGTTTATACTTCCGCTCCTGTCAAGAAAGGGAAATTTAGACGATGCAGTCCCTACCCCGGCCCTACATCACACTGCAGTAACGCAGGCAGGCTCTTCCCAGCCAGCACAGCAGCACAGGGCACAACGTCACAGGCACAGCCTCAGGACATGCCCTGATTTTGGGCCAGGTCTGGAGACACTGAACGAGGTAGCACAAAATAAACTCGTGTTTCCTCGTGAAGGAAATTCGCGTTGTTCAAGCCTCTCAGATGCTTAGGAAGACATGCAAAACGGGCCAAAGGAAAAAACAAAGTTTTTCTTCTTTAGAATGAACGTTTACATCCGAAGCTACAAAATTCTTTCCTGCCACAGGCTTCCTATGTGATCTTAACTAAACCTATTAAGACTTCTCTTTTTTTGGCCATAGTTCGATGCCTAGAAGAAAAAGGACGACTACTGTAATACTCACTACAGCCCTTGCTAAGCCAACATAAGACACAACAGCTTAGACATATGTGGTGCTTAGACAGAAGCACCACAGTATTTCACTGCAGGACTCAAGTCAGTAACTAAAACATATCTCTTTTTTACAGGGATATGTTAGAAAACCATTAGCACGTTGAATTTTTGTCCGTTCCCTAATGAATACTGCAAGTACATTCATATTTGTGTTTCGAAAAGGTCTCGCCAGGCCAGCCTGCGGCTGTCTTGCCTGCCCCGGCGCTACACTGGGATTTGCATGCTGAAGCGAAGCTACACAGCTGCTCCTAACACAGGGAATTGAAGCCTGATGAGCCAAAATTGATGCCTGTCTGGCAGGGACAGCGCAGAGTAACCGCAGTGAACTCCTTCAAATTATTATTATTTTTCAAGTATGCCTCCAGATACTAAGCTTCTGGCTCTTTTATTTATAGATGTGATGTGCTAGATGGAGCCTGTTTCAGGGAACAGAGAGCAAATCCCTGGTAATTCACTGCCTGACCTTTCATCACTTCACTCCTCTACGCCCTAGTTTATCCGCTAATATATGGAGGACTATACCACTTTCTCACCTAAAAGCAGCTTAATGTCTACAAACTGTCTCAAAAGACACCTGCTACAGAAGCGCAGCAGCTGCAAACATACTCCACTTTGCCACTGACACGTGAGAAGAATTTATGGGCTACAAAAATTAGCGTTTCCAGTGGAAACTGAAGATGCTCTCATTGTTTTAATTTCTCCTCCCTGTATTACAAGCCAAGTCACAAAAGGAAACTTCCATGTAGCGGATGTGCTGTACGGTCTACCCAGCGGGCAACTTCCCAAAAAGCACAAACGGCTACAGGACCTGCTAAAGCTCCCCATTCAACTGAGCCACTTTATACACTGACTTCTTTACACAAAATGCTCAGCAATAGACTTTACAGGACATATAGAGATGCCACATCACCATCAAAACGGGCCAAGAGACAAATTCCTGCAGCCACCTGCCTTTGTTTCCCACAAAGGAAAATGCAGTCGTTTTTGTCCGCCACGGGAAGCTGCGAGCTTTCTAAGATGGTGCTGTGACACAAAAGGACCAACCAAATCACCTGCTCTGCGCAGAATTAAATAGCATGTTTCCTCAGTGCCATACCAGGAGCATTTTCTACCTTTCAGTTTTCTTCGTGTTTACTCTTTTCATTCTCCTGCTTTTATCTTTTCCTTCACATTACCTACCTTATCTTATCGTCATCACCGCCCACGTTTCAGCCACCTTACGCCCATCTCGCTACTCGCGCTTCGTTACGCGCCTCGTACAAACCAAACGCACACAGACACCATATAGCACAGGCTCAACTATTTATATTCCACACGCGTTACCTTCCGCCCTCTCTGCTAAGGAGCGTTCTCCTGCGTTTCAGCCCGCTCCCGCGCGCGGCTGGCCCTACTGCAGCGGCTCACAGGGCTTCCGAAGGGCACCGTGAGAATTCCCGGCTCCAAGGCCGGGGCGCTGCTCCCGGAGAGGCAGGCTGGCAGCCACACGCGGCACATTGTACTCTGTGCAATTCTTTGCTTTTCCAGAAGGCAACACCTCGAGTCCCACGTAAATAAGTCGTTTTTAACAGATATTTTGGAGCGTTTAACCTCCGTTTGTTTTCCACAGCGCATTTCCAAGCATTGCGCAGAACCGCGAAACATTAACAAATTAAATAGCTTTGGACCAACGTTGCATGGGGGGGACATACTTGGGAAGCTTGTGATAACGCTTCACATTAACAACGCCCTTGCCGCTTGTGATAACCCAGGGTGCACCGAGCCAGAAAATAAAAACAACATTATCAAAGCTCCTCCAGCGAAGGTTATTTTTAAGCAGGAGACAGAATTCCAGCAGCCCTGTTCCCTCACAGACCAAGCAAAACTACACCCCACTAACCTGGCGTTAAACAGGGCAGGGGGAGTCCCTTCGCCAGCCGAGCTCGGAGCCCGGAGCCCAGCCGGGACCACGTCCTGCTACCTGCCCAGCACCAACCTCCTCCTCCTCCTGCTCCGCGAGGAAGGCTGAGATAACTGCTCATTCCCTACAGCTGCTGTAAGAGCCCTCAGGTGCCGCTTCCCGAGAGACAAGAGAGACCAGCTCTCCCCACAGGCCCAGGAGGATCCTCATGACTTTCACACACAAGCCATTTTCCTGTGCACTTACATCTGTATTTGGAACAAATAAGAAATCTTTGCGTGGAGCTGCAGTGCCGTTAGCTCTCAGGTAACGCGTCACGACGACACCTCGTACACGTTCGCGTTATGCCCACTATTACGCCCCCGGCAAACTGTTTAACTAGGTTTATTTTCTGTATGTGTGTGTGTTGGAGTCTGCAGGAAATGGAATTAATAGCTCTTTCTCCCTCCTGTAAAACTGTACTTCATGTTCCTATGGGTGCCTCCTCCAGGCAATCTCTTTTAGGTCTCTGTTGGCCCTGAACGTCTGTATTTGGAGATGATTTCTGCCTAGCACTCAAAGGTGGAACTGCAGCAACCACTGACAGGCTGCTGCGGCGTCTCCAGCTGGGCTGGCCGTGCATCACCAGGAGCCTCTTCTCATCTCCTCTCCTATCCCTCTGCCCTTACAGCAACCACAAAAGCATTAAAACACTCCCCAACTTTTATGCAGAACGCACCCTTCCCCCAGCCCTCCCACTGAAAGTTAAACGTGAGCTCACAGACATCGCTACCCATTCCTCTGCCTTTAACGTGAAAAATAAGTTTTGTTACTCTCCCTAATGTTAAAAGTCTTAGCTTTTCCCTGGGGCTAAAGGAAAAAAAAAAAAAGGAAAAGAAAAATCAATGCAAGAAAGATCCATAATTTTTTCCTTGGAACACTACTACTTCCAGCAATTTATTTGACTGACTATGCCTCCTATTACCATGTAAATTGTTTCAGGCTGCAGAAGAAAAAAAAAGTATTAATCTCTCCTCAGTAAGTCATAAAATAAAGAAATCAATTTCAAGGTCAATTTAGTCTAAACAACACCTGCTGCCCTTTTCGTAACATGCAGACTCCTCTGAAACACTAAGTTGCTGTCTATAAAGGCAGCAGTATGTGATGTTTCGCACAAATCCAGGCAACACACAGCACAGCCCAGCCTATTTGCAGCGTACCGTCTGAGGCTCAAAAAGGATGCGGACCGGGTCACCTGCAGTCATGCGCTTTCAGCATAAGCATGAAGCCTTATACCAGAAACGCGCAGGAAAGGGGCTGCACGCGCGATGCGCTGGCTCTGCGGGAGGCTCTCAGCCCCCCAGGTTTTGCTGCTGTCTTGGGGCTCTGAGCTCCTCTCAGCAAGCGTTCAGACCCAAAAGGCCTGGGCCTCAAAACAAGGGCTTCCTGGGCAAAAACAATCACTATAGGTGATAAGAAATATCTTCTCCTGCTAGTGGAAAGCTTAATTAGGCAGAGAAAGGAAAATCAGCTTTCTTCTGAAACCAAGAATTCAGGAAAGGAAAACCACCAGAGCA